AATTTCAGCTAACGACAAGAGACAACCGTCTCAATTTACACCGCGTTTAGGACGAGGATCGAGCGAGGATCTATCCTCTTACGGAGATTCGTACGAAGTCGACGAGGACGACCGTCTATTATCGCCGATATTCACATCTCGTTTAGGACGACGGTTTCCTTGGATTCCATCGCCGAGACTTGGACGTCAATTACGCAACGTATTCCAAAAACTATAAATTTATCCGATAAAAAATAAAAGATCATTAAAAGTTGAAGAAAATAGACTTGCGCGATTGTGCAGATCTGATGACACGACACAGCACGATTATATGTAAGATATAGAGAAATAAAGTACATATATATATTTGTATTGCGAAATTAACTATTATTCTTTTTCTTGCATTTTGTGAAATTATAATTATGTAAAAATGCTCTATTTTCTAAAAGTGAATCAACGTATTATTTATTACTCTATTACTGACTTCAATGCTACACTTATAACTTATTCGCTAATAAAATCATCAACGAATATTTATTGTTTTTCGGTATAATACTGATTCACTTTTAGAGAGTATGATGCTCATTAAAAAGTCCATCACGTAATTTAAAAATTTTTCTCTTTTCATTTATCATTATTATAGTAAAGATTATTTTATAAAATGTAAAAACCCAATTGGATTAAAGAGTAAAAAATGTATATTCCAGTAAGTAAACGAGTATAAATAACATATAGCGCTTACAAAGCATTAAGAAAACGCATATAATTTAGGCACTTTGCAGGTGCTGTTATGCTTGAGTACTACTTAGATGGATTGGACTATTTAGACTACTTAAATGATTTAAAGAAGATTCACATTTTCAGAAATACACGTTCGCAAATGTTAAAATAAAGCCTTTTCAATCCGAATTAATTTTTATTCGTTTATAGGAATTGCATCAAACACATTTCTATATCTTCATATAAAAATAATATTAACTTTTTCTATGCATCATGTATACTGCTCAATTCAAAATTCTGAATAAGAAATGCAGTTTTTTAATCCAATTAAATCCAGTTGAATCCAATTGAATAAAAAAAAAACTTTTCCTATTCATTGGATTTAATATGGAACAAAATAATGAGAATTAAATACATAAGATTCATAGCAGTAATATTACAGCAATATTTTTATTTTTCATTGCAATATAACAGAAATATTACGAAAATATTATTGTGATATATCACAATTATATTACTGTAATATCATATAATATTTCTTCAATTATATCACAATACAATTATATTATG